CCGATTGTGTGGGCGTCAATCGATGGGCTGAACTTCGAGGACCATCAATTGCCTCTCGAGGTCCTGAATTCATCTTGCCAGCACAGGATCAGGTTCTGGGTTTCCAACCAGTCGTTCGTTGAATGGACGAGGCATAGTCACCGGTGATCGATGAGTCTCTTGATGGACTTCAGCCCCAATGGGAGTCGTCGTAGTTGCTCTGCCCTGCTGGCCCATCATCTCCACTCGTTGACTCAAGTTATCGAACTTAGTCGACAACGCCTGGAACTTTTCTTCTTTTTTTTTCAACTGTGTCTGGAACAGAGCAACAACTTGCTCTTGGAAGAACTGCTAAAACTCCGACATCATAATCGGTCGGGGCTCTCCCATTGCAGCTTCTTCCCCGTCTCTTTTGGTCACGATTTCGACCTCTATTGAGTGACTCGCCGCCGCCGCCGCTTGTTTCTTTTTTCTTTTCTTTTTGGACGAGAACACAGGGGGTTGTTCTGGAACAAGGCCTCTTGACCTAGTCCAATGCACAATTCCGGCGTCGCCTGTCTCCGCGAATTTCGTCTCACTAGCCATTGTGTAGAACCAGGCTCTGATTGCCACTTGATAACGCCCTAGATGGGTGTTAATGATCAAGAGTCGCGAAACTCCTTCCCAAACAAAGGAATCGATGAATTCCCTTTGTCTCGAACACAAACAGAGTCTCTTAACGAGCTTAGGTAACCAAGTTTGAGTGTGGTTTTGGATGGAAACGAAAGGGAAATCTCACACATGGGAGATTGCACGATCGTTATAAGGACGCCTTCGATGTAATCAAGTGGGTTTGCTCGATCAATAGGCCAGTTTCAGCAAGTTTTGATCGCAACCAAAACCAAGAACAAACTCACAACGCACAAGTTGGAAATTTTGGGGTTTTCTCTTCAATTCAACTTTGAATGTTACAATTTGTGAATGAGGCCTTTTATAGGCTTAAACAACTACAAACAAACCAAAACTAGGACTAAAATTAACCTAATTCAACATGGAAACGAAATTAAACAAGTAATCTGAAATGGAATCGGTATCCTAATGCTACACGGATTACAATCGAGCTTAGGTGGCAACTTTGAGGAACTCGACAATGGTCTTCGCGGCTTCTTCGATCTCAACCAATTCCAGTTCTGGGTTTAGGTTCTTCTTTTCATCCCACCTCGAATCAGCTCCTGATTGTGTCCAAGCTCGAGATATGGAGCTCCAAAGATAGCACCTCAAACACGCCATCTGCCTTAGTAAAAAATAGGCAGTTTCTCGGTTCTGAGCTAGCATCTTGGTGAGCTTCAAAATCAACCTTCTGGACTTCCCCTTGATCCACCAAGCACATGTCGTTGAAGAAGACTTCCCTAGATTCAAACAAGCTATAAAACACACATTTCCATGGAGCCAATCTCTTGATCTGAGCCTTCCAATCAAGTAACCTGAAATAACCAAAAGACTTAGCCAATTTTCAAGTTCGTTGTTGCTTAATGAACTAGCTTCTTGATCACTCCATGGAAGCTTCAATGGCTCGTAATTTGGGATCATATCACAATAAGTCAATGATAAGCTATTGATTGATTCGCGGATAAGTTGTTAGGTGAGGTAGTTTTCTAATCATATCGAGCCAGCTCGTAGCTCAAAATGAGCCATCTCACAAGTTAAGCTCAACAAGTCATCGAGTCGAGCTGGCTCATGAGCCTTGCAAGTTGAACAAGGCTTACCTCAAGTTCGGCTCATTGAGTGTCGAGCGAGCCTTTCCCGAACCGAATATCAAACAACTGGTTAGCACGTTGACTAATTTTCAATCCTACTCGATCATATATATTACGTTGTAGCATTATAGAATAACAATATTATACAATGAGTTTACTCGGTTTAGCTCGTTGGTCCACTCAAGTAAGTGGGTTGAGACTTAATGGTCCAATCGCTTTAGCCAGGATACATGAAAAATGTTTTATATTGTTCATACATTTTATAAATCATATCAAATCTCATCTAACATATGAGTAATAATATATAACATTACATAAAAATAACATATCATACTTGGATCCAACATATTGTGAAAATTGTCACACACTTATATAACATTAATATGTATTCAAATGTTCGACTTATAGAATCCAAAGATAGGGCTAGGAGAAGAGAAAACTGAAAAAGATAAGCATTTCACAAAGCAAAGTGAAAAATGATGTTGTATGACCTACAACCCGATAACCCTGCAACGGGTCGACCTGACGAGTGCGAGTGGCCCGTCTTTCACATCAAGTCAGAGTCAAAATAGGTCACCTGGCCAGTCGACCCGCGATTGACAACTTTTAGCTATTCACAAATTCGTTGCTTATTTGATTTTGAAAAATTGTTATTGTCTGAAATTCATGGGATAAGAAAATGCTCGTTGGCATAGAATGAGTGTTATTTGCGTATACAATTAACAAAAGTAATAAGTACATGATACATCATTTTGTTCCCCCACAATTAACTCAAATAACCTATCAAACTCATATATCACTGGGAATCATTGTAGTTCAGTGTTTCCCTTACCCGATAACTCTATTTAACATGTGTTTATGACTTTTTTCAATGTGAGTTCGGGTTAATTGACACAATAATTTTTGATAATTTGAACGTAAATCTTGAAAAATATTAAAATGAATGACTACTACGTTAGCTGTTTCAAGTGCTTATGGTTAAAGGGATCCAGTTTCCAGGGATTGATGATCCAATCGTGGTGGAGCTGCTTGTGCTCCGGGAGGCTATCGCGTGGTGTTTAGGCCAGGGCTTCACGGGGATGAGGTTTGAAGGGAATGCCAAGGTCATTATTGATAAACTCAACAGTAAGGATGCTAGTGATAGCCGGATGGGTGCTCTTTTGGAAGAAGTTTTACAATATTTTTGTAGCAACCCTGGGTTTAGTGTGCGATTTGTAGGTCGGCGTAGTAATAGGGTAGCCCATTTGGTGGCTAGAAAAGCCCTCTCTTTGTACCCGACTACGAGTCGTTTCTTTGATTTTCAGGCCTGGCTGGGGTCCAGGATGTAACTATCTATGTTTTGGTATCAATATATGATTATCTTTTGTAAAAAAAAAAAAAATACATTAGCTGTTTCAAACTTAATCCAGAGACTAAAAACCAAACTACCAAAAGTTTATCTACCTTCGATGTAATTAACTCTAATTAACCTGGTGGGAAATTTCAATTTACTATTCTTCAGCCTCTTTTCACCCATGACCGAAAACAAACAATTTTCTCTCGCCCTTTCCCGCCTTCTTTCCTGTCATTTTTTCGCTCCATGACCATAACGTCTCTGACCCTTTCATGTGTCTTTGTATGAATGTGAAGCTGTGAATGCCCTTCGTCTACGGCAACCTTTCTTCTTTTTTCTGCCTTCATTGAATTATTACTACTTTTTTTCTCTTTTACAAAAGAAAACGACGAATTCTACTTGGCTCCCTTTTTTTCTGGTTCTGATTTGGCCCACCTAGCTAGCTATCAAAAGCAAAGAAAGTCTATTCCTGACCCGATAGTTGTGTACGAGAGATTACTGCTCTTTACTTACTATATTATGCATCACAAAATCTGCATGTGTACATCCTTCCATCCCTTGGCATTTATTACATACTTTCTCTTTTTTGTGGGGCTATCGCTTTAATTCAATGTGGATAATTCAAAAAAAAATTCAAAGATAATTAGCATGAACCCCTTTTTCATAGGGATGGGGTGGGCGTTCGGTCGGTTCGGTTTGAACCGAACCAAACAAAGAAGTAGAGGTATTCCGAATTGTGCCTTGAGCCAACCGAATTTGAACCGAATAGTATTTCGGTTCGGTTCGGTTTTTGTGCCATAACCGAGAAACATGCTGCCTCTTAAACTTTAACCTTTTAAGGGTTTTGGTACCAGCTTGCTGCTGCTTGAAATTTCACTTGCTGCTGCAAATGATGTAAATATATATTGTCCCCTGCAATTCATCTCAAGTCCCCATTCCAAATATTCTAATACAAATAAAACAAATCCACCTTCCAAATATCCAATACAAATACGAGAAGTTCACCCGTTTAGAAGCATTCATTACAATACAAATTGTTTTAAATTCAAACTAACAAAAGAAAGGTAGTCATTGTCTAAATTCCAAGCATAACTTTTACAAACTCTAAGGTCTTGCTTCTTGGCTCTTCACTCTTGATCAATTGACACCTTTTAAATTGAAAATAGTAAAATAAACATGAAACAATGATGGTTAGTGATTAATATGTATAGAGCTAATTACAGATAGCCAAGTAGAATAAAATCTCAACTTCTTACCTCTAAAGTCATCAATCATGCATAGAAACATCAGAATTATCACCACAAGCACTACCAGATGCTCTACCATCGTTCCTCCTTCCACTTGAACTTGGTACATTGGAAGTCGAGGTAAATGAAACAAGATTATCTCTTATAGAGATTGCATTCATCAACTTGTCCAATTCTGCAAGATTAAAAAGACCCAAAATTAGTCATGACATACAAATTAATCATGTTGTAGATATGTAATGCTAGAATTGAGACTTTAGCTTCATCTATTTTCTCAACCTCTTTTGGATCCTCCTCGGCTGATGGTGGTGCAGAATCACCATGTATCCAATCCGAGCTACAAATTAAAGCCTCCACTATCTTAGGAGTCAATGAACTTTTGAAATCATCTAAAATCCTCCCACCAGCACTAAAGGCAGATTCGGATGCAACGGTAGAGATAGGTACCACTAGAACATCTTTAGCCATCAATGAAAGTGCTGGAAACCTCAAGCTGTTAACTTTCCACCAACCTAGAACATCAAACTTGAGCACCATTGGCTCGTCTTCCTCATGAAGGTATTTCTCAAGCTCAGATTTGTTTACCGCCCCTACAATTTGCTCTCTATGCTTTTCGTATTCAACAAGTACATCAATCTCATCAATATCACACTCCTCCACAATTGGAGCCAAAGAAGTAGAGGCATTCTTAGATTGCTTTGATTTTCAAAGCTGTTCATAGTGAGCAAATAGAGCAAATGTAGCCTTATTCACATCTTCCGCCATACGTCCTCCCTTACCATCCTCAGGATACACCCTTTTCAAAGCATAGTCAACAAAACCCAACTTGTAATTCGGATCAATAACAGTGGAGATGTAAAGTAGCTTGTTCATTTTATCCACATCTCCCCAATACTTCTCGTACTTTATTTTCATCTTGCTAGCCATGACACTCAAGTCATAATCTTTCTCAACTTCAGTCTCCCACTTGTGTATCAAATGATATAAGGAATGCACCTCTTGTAAGAACAAGTTAGAAGTGGTATACCTTGAGCCCGTGATCTTCAAAGTGAAGTCATAAAACTTACCAAGAAATCGCATCATCCTCCTTGCATTCTCCCAATCATCTTTCTCTGGGACCCCAATTATGCCATGTCTATCCTTCCTTCTTTCCAAGTCCTTTCGAAAATTATCATCATACATGTCAAACATCTTAAACACATTTTCAAACCTCTCAACAGCCTGCAACATCAAGAATGTCGAGTTCCATCTAGTAGGAACATCAAGACACAAGCCACGTTTGCCTTCTACTTTTTGAACTTTGGCAAACTCATTAAATTTTTTCAACCTTTCTGGTGAGTTTCTAATAAACCTCACATCTTCTCTAATTCTCTTCACCGATAGGGAAATATCTCCAAGCCCATCAGACACAACCAAATTTAAAATGTGAGCCACACATCTCATGTGAAGGAATGAATTATCACAAATACTAGTCCCTCTAGTATTAAAAACTTCCTTCAATTTGGCTACAGCTGTGTCATTAGAGCTAGCATTATCAACAGTTATTGTGAAGACCTTGTAAATCCCCCAATCATCCAAACAAGCAACAATGCCATCAGCAATATCTACACCTTTATGACCTTTAAGTTCCCCAAAATTGATGATCTTCTTTCTCAAATTCCAATCTTGGTCAATAAAGTGGGCAGTTAAGCACATAAAACTATCTTGCTTATTCGAAGTCCATGCATCAGTAGTCAAACAAATTCTTCCTTCACAACTTTGAAAAAAACCTTTTCAAATTGTCTTTCATCTCAGTATATAAGGCAAAACAATCCCTAGTGATTGTTCTTCTAGAAGGAATATTGAACATAGGGCAGCATAGCGACATGAAGTACTTAAACCCCATCCCATCAACAAACTTGAACAGTTTTTCATCAACAATGAGCATGTATGCTAAACCCTTTCTAGTAGCTTCTTGATCAAACCTCCAGTTTGTTAAAGTACCCTCGCCTTCTACCCCAGTTTTTCCTAAGTTCAATAATTGTTGAGTAGTACCTTTTTTGTCATCACAACCCTTTTGCATATGAACACTCATAGCATTGGTGCCATTAAGAAATGGATCTGCCTCATACTCCTTCCCACACTTCATACACCTTGACATCTTGTATCCGTCCGGGGCATTGAACCTTGTAAATTGAGTCCAACACACAGCTCGTGACTTCAACTCCTTCCTTTTTGATTTTAATGTTGTTTTGGTCGTACTAGTAGAGCGGGCAGCAGGAGCAGCAACCACCTCCACAGGAACTTTACCGCCACCGGCCGATGAATCCTCTTCCTACACCAACAATAAACAAAGTAAATTTCCATCACCAATACATCATCAATAAACACAGCCAACAGTAGCATTAAGGAAATTGAAAAAGGCAGAATGATAGAGAGCTTTATCATTTATTTCCAACTAGTCGAACACCTTTGAAGAGAGGAACGAGAAGCTTTGGGTTTGTTTATTTGGGAGAATGGTGCTACTGCTATGCGAATTACATATATACAAATACAAGCAACAGTAAAGATAATTCAAAAGACAAAATTACATATATACAAATACAAGCAAAATAGTTCTAGGCTTCCAACCTCAACCAGTTCAACAAATCTGCCTCTCAACCAATGCAATCTCAAACCAATTCTGACAATATACACGCATACTAGTTCAACCAATTCTGCATATCAAACCAATGCAATCTCACAATTGAACAAGAATTAGAACATACCAACACATGGACGTCCTAATTTGGAATTGGTTGACTGTCGGTATTGGTGGAGCTGCCGACATTTCTCTGTCTGCTAGTGCTAGCTTTCCGATTGGTGGTCATGTCGACTGGTGGAGGTAGGCTTTGGTTGGACTTCGGAGTTGGAATCCTCTTGTCTTGATATGGCTGCCGCCGGCTAGAATGGAGCACTGGGCGGTGCGGAGCTGTGAACGGGAGTACGAGCGGCGGGACTGCGATTGTAAGTGTTGGCGGCCGACGGGAGAGTCGGTGGGACTGGGTGGGAGGCGAGGTGGCAGCGATTGCGGTGGGAGAGTGATGGATGGAGGAGGAGGTGGGCTGACGGCTGACGCAACCCTCAAGTCAGGCTGTCCTCGTCGCCCGTGGAGAAACGACGATCGAGACTGTGGAAGAGACGCCGATCGGGAGCTGGGTTACAAGCGCCAAGCGGGCAGCGGCGCAGAAGATTCAAGAATGGCGTGGATGGATTAGGGTTAGGGTTGCTGCTGGGTGGGTATTGGGTAAGTTACTTTCCCATTTGGTTTCAACTTGCTGCTCGAGTCAAACGTCAATCTCCCTTTCTGATTCCTTCCATTCCATCTCTCTGCTTCTTCACATTGTACATTGGGCTGGGACGCTGGGTTGGGACTTGGGTGGACTGAGGGTTAAACACTTGGGCTGGGTTGGCAACTTGGGCCTGGGAGTGGGCTCTGGGGTCTGGGCGCAGCAGCCACCAATTCACATAGGTTGACAATTCGGAAAATCGGTGGGAAAATCGGTTGTTCGGTTCAAAAGAAGATGTCTCCCGAAATATGGTCTATTTCAGTCCGAATTCTGAACCTAATAAGGTTAAATTTGGTTCGGTCGGTTTTTATTCGGTTCAGTAAATCCGAACTGCATGCCCACCCCTAGGGATGGCAATGGGTCGCGTAGGTGACAGATAGTGCATATCTTATTATCTGTTACCTTACTCAAAATAGTTTGGGTTTTATCCATACTCATACCCACATAAGAAATGGGTAAAAAATACAAACCGTGCACATACTCGTTCAGGTTTCGGGTATCCATAGGTAATAGTTTCTATTTATAACTCCAACCAATATGTTGATATTCACGAGTATTCTCACGTTACGTAAGAAGAAAAGTGCGACAATAATTCACTAGAATGAAGAAAATTAATTAAAATAATACAAATTCATAAAAATATTATATTTATATGCTAAATATAAAATATGTTAGAGAAAAATATTGATTATTTCTAGACAAAATACATATGCATGTGTATAATCGGGCGTGTTCGGGTTGGATAGTGAGAAATCCATGCCCACCCATTACCCGCAATATTCGGGTTCGGGTTTTACCCGTAACCACTAAAAGTTCTTCGGGTTCGGATTTTACCTTACCCGATTAGATCAGATTCGGACGGATATCCACTATTACGGATATTTTTGTCATCCCTACTTTTTCGGGATTTGAGATGGGTGATTCACACCGCGATTGAACTTGCTCGAAAGGATGACCATGTTATATCACACACATAACTAAAATATTTAATTATTAAAAAAAAAAATCCAATCAATCCAATGAAATCTTAAATTGAGTTGCACATTAGTAAAACTCGATTGAATTCGGTTTGATTTGAATCCGACCGTGACTTCACCCACCTAAACTATTATGTTAGAAAAGATTGCATTCATCTTTCTCGTTAGTTTCCCATTTTTAGCCTCTCCTTATTTACCTCAGTAGTCAGTAACTACAAAGTCCCTTCTCCAACCCTTTAATTAAATCTTAGTCATGGTAATCTAACCACAAACTTCTCCAACCCTTTAATTAAATGTTAGTCATGGTAATCTAACCACAAAAGTTGAAACCACAAATGCAAAAAAGATGGCAAAGCGTTATGTTGCCCTCATAAAAAACAGAGAGAAAGAAAACAGAGCAGCAAAAGGTGGGGAAACAAAAGGTCATGCATCTCTTCTGATATAACAACAACACACTCCCCAAACCCCCTTCCCTTGCTTTCATTTCTCCTCCCACCACCACCACCACCACCTTCCCCTTCCCTAAAAACTCACAACAAGCAAGCAAACAAACAAACAAACCACAACGCATTTCCCATCTTCTTCTTCTTCCTTTCTTCATAAAGCTAGAAGCTTTCCATTTCACAGACTATTCTCTGTTTCACCACATTGTTTCTCTGTTTTTCCATTTCTTTGGGGTTTTCGCACAATGGCTGTTCAAGCCCAGCCTTACCCAGAGACCGTTGGACCCGGTTTCTTCCCCATGTGCGGGTCCCAGGATTGGTCGCCGCCGGCCAATTTCACCGACGACCAATCCCACCGCCGAATCCCCTGTTTCGGCCTCCCGGAACAGCAACAACTCGCCTTCCAACCGCCGAACAATCTCTTTCTCCACCAACAACAACAAGTTCCCACCTCCCAAACGACGCCCTCTACCTCCACCTCCACCGGCGGCGGTTCTCAATCCGTCCTCCGCTCCCAGCTCGAGTCTCAGCGGCAGGAGCTTGACTCCTTCCTCCAATTTCAGGTAAACAAAAAATTAATCAACTAAAAAGTTCGTCACTTTCCCTCAACTTCAACCTCAATTCGTTAAATTCGAGCTTGGGCTGATCCGATTTCTTGGTTTTAATCGAAGAACGAGAGGCTGAGATTGGCGCTACAAGAACAGAGGAAGCGCCAGCTGGCGGTTGTATTGAGAGGAGCGGAAGCCAGGGTGGCGGCGATGGTGAGACGGAAGGAAGGCGAATTGACGCAAGCGGCGACCAAACGAGTCGAGCTGGAGGCTCGCCTGAGGAAGGCGGAGGCGGAGAGGGACACGTGGCGGAGGGTGGCGGCGGATACGGAAGCTGCGGCCTTGAATCTGAACCGACAGCTGGAGCACGTCAAGGAGCGAATGATGTGTTCAACGGCAGCGGGGTTTGAAGGGAGCGACGGCGACGCGGAGTCGTCGGCCAGCGGAGGGGAGCGGTGGTCGTCGTCGCCGGCGGCGAGGGGAGGAGGTTGTCGGAGGTGCGAAACTCGAGGGGCGTGTGTGGTTCTTTTGCCGTGCAGGCATCTGTGCTCGTGCAAGGCTTGCGAGGGGTTTCTTGGGGCTTGTCCCGTTTGTAATTCTGTGAAGGAAGGGAGCTTGGAGGTTTTTTGGGGTTAACGAGGCGAAGGTAAAAAGATGAGGGGGTAAAAGGGAAGACTAGTAAATTTTGGGGGGTTAGAGGATTGGAATTGGGAAGGACAAAGGAGGGCAGAGAGAGATTTTTTTGGGAAGAACACATGTTGGTGGTGGTACATGTCATTATGGGGGGTTTTGTTGGTTTCCAGTCTTTTGTTTCTTGGGTAATTAATTTGTTAGAGTACAAAATTGGTACTCCACTTTGTTCAACTTTATTACTAATTTAGTACCTAAAGGGGCTTTCTTAACAATTTTCGTCCACGTGAATTATGGAAATCATGAATCTGAAGTGTATTTGAAACTCATTAGAGCATTTGCTTGGTACTTCTTTTATGTAATGATAAGATGCCTAGCCTATTAAGGGAGGCCATAACTCCAACATTGATAAATGTATGAGAAGTGAGAACTAAGGTATTTTGATTATGAAAACGTGAAGTAGTGGGTGGTACTTAGTTACCTTCTTTATAAATTCCATATGAAATCGTTATACGGTATTTGTAATTTTATAATTAAGTTTACATGGTATTTGACAACACGCTACACTCATGTTAATCAAATTCAACTTGCAAAGAGCGGATATTTCTGATTTTTTTTTCTTATTCTTTTTAATCGGGATGATTTGGTGGATGATTGAATGCTCAATTTGCTTGATGAAGCAATGATAACATAACTAGTAGACCATACGAGCTTCTTCAACTGTAGTTATACTTTTAATTGAATGGATACATAGGAATATATGAATAGACAAATATTTACGTTATGACACTTTTTTGTATATGAAAAATGAGACAACAAAATGACATTCTAACATATTGTTCATTGTCAAAGAAGATTCAAAGAGCCCAACCACAACATAGTTTGTCTAGTATGAACATGACCGAACAAGTAGGTACAATTCACCAAATAATCAACTATACAATCGCTCTTGCTATAGAGGCGTGGTCCATGGTTATCTCCCAATCTCTCATCTCATGGCCAAGTTTTCTTGTTCCAAATGTTTGGGGACGGACTAAAATGTTTGAATGGAGGGCACTTCTCGTGCAGGGGTCTTTTTTGTTTTTGCTTTCTTGCTGTTCTTTGGGTTGTTGAGATTCATTTTAACAATACATTGTTTGGTTGTTGAAATTCTACTTTATGCATTGATTTACATAAAGTTACTTTTATGAGAAAATGTCATATTTACCCTCAACTTTTAGCATAAGACAAAAACTATTACGGATATAAATGGAAAGAAAAACTATCTGGTGTTTGTAGAACTGGTTTTGGTTTTATTTAATCTTAATCACCCTCATAAAAAAATGTTTGAATGAAATAGTTGTAAAACTAAATTACAAATTTCCCATAAAAAAAACTAAATTACAAATAGTGTTTTTCTTTTTGGGATTTGGGATTTGAATTTGTACATTTATTTATTTTTTAGGGGTCACACGAGGACCCATAAAATTGGGCTGCCGTGGGAAGGGAAGAGAGGTAAAAACCGTGAAAGGTGGGGTGAAATGATGTTCGGAGTGGTACAAGTCGGAAGCAGAAGAAAGTAAAATAGTCCTCCCGACTTTTTACTATTCCTAGGTGAAATAAATTTTACCTTATTTAGCTTTCTTTTTTCTTTAACCCTTGTGTATCATTTGTCGAAAGAATTACCCAATTTTATTATAATTTTTGGATTTCTTTTGGGATGAGTTGACATGGTTCCGTTTTGTTTCACCAAGAAAGAAAGAGTTGGCAGTGAGGCTAAATTTTGTGCTTTTACCCAGCCGTAAATAATGGGACTCACTCTGTCTGACAAAGATTTTTCCTTCATATAAAAAATAGCTTTTTGACACGCATCAGTTGAAAGAAGACAAACCAAGATTGAAACTGTCACCGCCATTCCATTGCATTGCGCTGCACCTTGTTTTTTTTTTTTTTAACAATAATTCCAACTTTTATTCCACCATCGAAAGGACAAACGAGAAACTCCGGTTACAATCTTAGAGAAGATCAGAAATTAGATCAAGAATACTAATCCAGTCAACAGGTAGAGTAGATCTAGCTTTAGAGCGTGCAACCCAATCGGCTTTAACATTCAACGCTCTCGGGGACCTGATTGACTTTAATGAACGGATTAATCCTAAGGATGTTGACCATCGAGCCAATCCAGGCCGCACACCGTAATACGCCCCTAGGGGGGTGTATGTTTATCAAAGTCACACAGCAAACGACTCAATCGAAGAATCGATTGAGCTCGAATCAAGAACAACACGTTCTTAATACGAACTTGGATAAAACGGAACCAAAAGGACAAATCCACACCTGGGGATAGCTCGATTGGTATAAAAGGGTAGTTGCTCGACCACGATTGAAGTGATTATTCAATCGATACACAAGCTCAGCAAGTTTGGAATCCACCAAACCCAAAATAAGTCGCACTTGCACAAACCAAACGGTTTCTTTTCTATTAATCAACTCTGAATTTTACAACGTAAT